ATAAGCCCAGAAGGCTGCGATCAGGTGCTTGGTTCCCATTAGGATGCCCATCCAGGTGCTTGGTTAGTCCCATCAGAATCACTTGGACATTGCATTAAAAATACAGGTTTCTGGGTCGCACCTGAGAGATTCTGATGGAACCCAGGAATCTGTCTTTTTGGATATGTTCCTCAGGTGACTTGGATGGCCAGCCAGGTGTGAAACTACTGGCATAGCAGAAAATGCATTAAATATGGGATAAGGAGATCAGGGCTCTGGTGATGTTTTTGCCAGTGACCCAATGTGTGACTTTTCTAAGATCTCGTTTTCTTGTTTGTAAAAGTCAGGTAACAAATTTGATTTATTCCTGGGTTGTGGTGAGAGGTCAAATTGCTAAAGTTATTTCTGTGGGGAAGTGGGCTTGCCATGCAGAAAAGAACACAGGCTTTGGAATGAGAGAGGCCTAGATGTTAATTCCACTTCTGGTACTGTGCTAGACATTGCCAGCTCTCCCTTATTCCTAAAAGGATCCTGATTTTACTTAGGGCGCAAATGTGCCTAGTAGAAAATACTCTACCTCCCAGACTCCTTTGCAGTTTGGGGTGGCCACATGGTACAGTTCACTCAGAAATCTGCTGAGGATTTCTGGGAAAGTTTTTGTTTTCCTGATGTAGGCATTCAATCTTGTTGCTTCTTTGCCCTCTTCTTCCTGCCTGGAGCATGGATGAAAGGACTGGAGTTGCAGCAGATATCCTGTTATTATGAGTGAACAAATACGGGAGGCCTATAAGCTGAGAATGATAGAGCAAAGAGATGAAAAGATTTAGGTCCTTAGTGGCATCGCTGAGCAGCTATACCACCCCTAGGCTTCTTATGTCAGACAACCGAATCCCTACTTATTTAAGGCAGAGGTAATTTTTTGTTGTTTATTTGTACCCTAGAGCTACTTTGGGAGAATTTAAAAAGAATAAAGTTTCTAGAACTGTGTCTGGCCCAGTGGACATTTATGCATGTGTCTCCCTTCTCTAGTTTTGAGATACCGTCTCATTTATAATATTATGCCCCTTCTAAATCCAATATCCTATACTTATCTGATGATAAGATAGAATAATTGGACTCTGAGGGCTGGCCTCTGGAATAAAGGATTCTTTCCTGGGAAATGTGGAGGGTTCAAGAAGGCACCCTACCAAGTGGCTAAACACAGGTGCATTGTGGAGTACTTGTAGCATCCTAACCCTACAGAGGCTGCCACACCCTAATCAAAGCAGATGTAAAAAATCTCTACAAGCTCTTGAGAGATGGAGAATGCATTGTGAGTCCAAAGGACACAAAATTGCCTTTGATCTGACGTAAGTATGGACAACAAGTCTAAGGATCCTAACCCTGGTGACAAACACATCTGAGAATAAGAATGAATAAACCTATTAACCTCCACTCTCCTCCTGAACACATATTAACCTCTCTCCCCTGAACACATATTACGTTTCCCGTCATTTTCTCTTATTGGAAACTTAAGTACCTGGGCGTGAGTGTGGGCACCTGTATATTAATGGGAGAAGAGAGAGGAGTTTCGGTTTTTATTACAATTCTTACCTGCCCACAGCATGGCTTTAATAGGATCAGGCTCATGCCCCTTAGGACCCATAGGAATGTACTCGACTCAATCGAAGCCAACTGCCTCCTCTGCCACCTGAATCCTGCAGGTCCCCATTGCCTCCCTGGCACTGCCAGGATCTGACCACTCCAGCAATGGCTGAAATCAATAGCAGCAGAGTCAGTACTAGTAAAGCTCTCACAAATCTTATACAGCAAAATATGATGAACATGAAGGGGGCTTTTTTTTTTGCTTTTTAGCAAACGTATTTTTCCTCCATTATTTAAAAAAGATTGAACTGCAAAAAGTGAAGTCTCCTTTTACTAGAAAAGTAAAGAAAATCATACAATGAGATGATCCAGCTGGGCTTCAGCACAGACATGCTTTCCCTCTCCCAAGGCTCCCTGAAGCCCGAGGTAGGACTCATGGGTTTTGTCCTCAGCAGACTGAGTTTTGCCTAGTCTTTTGACTGCTTCCAAGATCAGCACATCTTGACTTTCTCTCAGCCCTTCCAGTCTGAGTGTTCCTCCCTCATGGCCTTCACAAGCCAGTCCCGTTCAGTCCCCTGCTCAGAGTCACTCGTATCACTTGCCTCCACAGCCAGCAGCTTTGAGTAGTTGATTTTCCGCTCCTGAGGCAGTTTTGGCTGAATGGACAGGAACAGGGCCAGCCAGAGCAACAGGACCACGCAGCTGGCCTGGTAGAGCACAGCCAGGCTGAAGTGCATCACAACGAAGCCCCCCACAAAGCTACCCAGGCTGGCCCCGCCCCCATAGAAGTGGCCTCTGAACATGGTACTCAAAGGTCTCTCTGTTCTGGGAGTGGCCAGGTCCTCTATTGAGGCCTCCACTGCCCACCACAGAGCCCCGTTGCTGATGGCACTCATGATCTGAGCAGGGAGGACAGACCACCAGCTCCAGAGGAAAGAGTAGTACAGCAGCTGCCCTGAGAGGCAGCCTAGCCCCAGCCCCACGGAGCCCACCCTGGACAGTTTCCTGAGCAACCTTGTTTTGAATGGATGAAGTAGAATTTCCCCCAGCAAGCTCAGGGCTACTGAGAAACCCATGACCAGCTCGCTGCTCCCATGGTCTTTCATGTGCCAGAACAGAAAATTCTGTACTGTGCTGGTGGCGGCTCCTATCAGAAAGACAGTGAAGGCTAGAAGAATAAGGCGGGGGTCACCCCCCACCAGAGACAGTACTTTGACCGGTTTGTAGCTGGGCTCCCGCCGCCTGTAGACAGGGACGGGAAATGCGATGCTCACCAGTAAAGCCAGGGTGCTGACCAGCGAGTAGCCATAGAAGTGTATCACACCTCGGGGGCCACTTGTCACCAGGAAGCAGTCCAGCTGCCCCTCCAAGGCTGCAATGCCACATACACCTGCCGACATGCCCAGCAGCCTCCAGATCCAAAGGTTTTTGTAACGGTCAGTTGCATCCACAAAATCTAGGTACTCATAAAGGCTGTCATCCGCCACCTGCTCCAGTGGGGCTGTCAGCAGCTCCCAGAACACCACAGACCCCAAGGAGAGAATGAAAGTCCATTGCAACCCTTCCCAGGAGAGGTCAAGGGCCCCGATGTTCCCCTTGGTAACTGACAAGTTGGCTGGACTTCCCAGTGCTGAATCCCCGGCAAGCAAAGGGAGGGCAGTACTGACCACCTTAAAAGCACCTTCCCAGGGATTATCTTTCATCCCTGAAGTGACAGGGTGGAGGAGAACGCCAGATGCGGTCCCGGCTCCTTCAATGGAGCCCACAAAGTAGCTGGGCAGATGACTGAAAGGTTCTTTGATACTTCGCCCAGATCCTTTTCTGAAGCCAGAGGCGTCCCGGATCCCCGTACTCCTCTTGTCTGGGAGGCTGGGCGCCTCCGCAGGGTGGTTTAAGGCCAGCTCTTGGGCTGAGGTGAAGTTCAGAGTTAGTGCGACCCCGGGAGGTAGGACTGTGGTGGTCACGCTGTGGCTGCCATTACAGGAGCGGTATCCTAGATCTTTGTCCAGCGGCGGCACCAGGGCCATCAACAGGCTGGCTCCCACCGAGCCAAGCAGCGAGCCTATCAGAAGCATCCTTCTTTTCTGGTAGCTTTTGGCCAGGAAGGCACAGAAGGGAGCCCAGAAGGCTGCGATCAGGTGCTTGGTTCCCATTAGGATGCCCACCCAGGGCGCGGCCAAGCCCAGTTGCCTCAGGTAGAGGGTCAGAAACGGAGTCACGCAGGCATCCCGGACCCCACACACCAATTGGAAGAGTCTGGCCACTCCCAGCGTCCTGCTGATGTCCCACTGGGGATTGGCGTTCATGGCTGCCCGGCTTGGTCAGACCCGGGCAGGCGGAGGGCGGAGCTGGGCACGGGGCAGGCGTGGCCGCGGCCGGGGAAGGCGCGACGCCATGTCCCCCGGAGGGAGGCTCGGGCGGAGGAGCTAGCGGGCGGTGCCTCCAGCCTCTGGCGGTGCCGCGGTCACCAGGCCAACGGTCAACCTCATCCCTCACGTCCGGCCTCCGGCCCGGAAGTGGCCCCGCCCCGAACATCGGTGCACCTGGGGGCGGGGCCGGCGCACCTGTGGGCTACACCTGCTAGGTCCCGCCGCCTCCTCGGCCTCCCCACTCCCTGCCTCCTGCAACGCGAGCCTTCGGCTGTTCCACCCGCGGGACATATGCGGGTGCGCAAAGGTCGCGGCCTGCAGCCTGCAGGGTGCGCTCCAAGCTGGGCCCCCAGGCTCCCGACGCTGCTTCGCGTCGCCCACGAATCTGAGATCTCTAAACTGCTTCAGGCGAGTGAAACTGTCACAGGGAGTGGAGTGGGGTGGCGAGAATGGAAGCCATGATATGAGCTCTCTCATCTTTTTCAGTTCTTTACTCAAATGCCCTCTGATCAAGGGACACTCAGTTACTTTCAAGGACCATCCTTGTTCATCGTCACTGAAATACCAAATCTCACCCTTCCCCAGACTCGCACACTCCCCTTCCCTACTTTTTCTCCATAGCCTGTATTATTCATTTTCCAACACACTACTGGTTTATATTTCGCATGTTTATCTTGTTTATTTTCTGCTTCCTTCAGAATCAAAGCTCCAGCGAGGCAGCTATCTTTGTCTCCAGGACCTAGAGCTGTTTCATTGGATATGAGCTCCCCCTGGAAGGTGGGTACAGTTTTCTCAAGTTTGGACAATTCCTAGGGAGGGCTGACAGTTGAAGGGTCTTGGAGTGGCACTCCAGCGCGCCATCCAGACGGCCACCCCAGACACTGAAACAGTATGAATGTATTGGATAGTTTTAATCTACACTTAAGTTGTCCAGCTAGGAAGTACACACTCCAAAGGTGGTTAGCTAATATTTAATCAAAAAGCTACACTACGGAGGCAGCAAATACTAGCTCTTCAACAATCTTAGAACAACAGAAGTGGCTTCATTAATTAGCATGATAGATATTGGCAAAATTTCACTGGCAAATTTAGTGGTGTCTAGTCACATGGATTGGTTATAGTTTTTTTTTGGAGCATTTCCTCCCTCAATGAATACAGTTTAAGAACCTAGATATTCCTACAGTCCAGATCCTTTGGAGTGGTGCCATAGGCCTTACTTCGATATGGTCCAGTGTCCAGCCACTGATTCAATGAACTTTTTGTGCCAGGTTTCTTCAGGGCACCTAATTTGGCTGGGGGTGGGGAGTGAGGGAGGTGGTGTATGTGTAGCAGAATTTGGTCTATCATTTGCTTCCATTGCAAGTTGATAGAGAGATTATTGGGGGAGGAGGCCAAGAGCCCTCGCCTAACACACTGTGAATGTTTACTTAAAGAACCTAGTAACTATGAATGCCCAAATTGATATAAATCACCCCCGTGGCAGGAAAAAAAAAGTCTAGCCACCTCCAGGTAAACTCACTCAAATTCAGTGATGTCAATCACTTCTGGTTTAAAACCACTTCAGTTCTATTGAAGGCTGTCCCTAGTCTCTCTCCTCCCTGAGTTCTGCAGCTTCAGTGGATGATCTCACAGCCATCTACTCCTCAGTCTTCACATGTCTAGGGCTGATCTCCACTGAGGGGCAGGCACTCCACCATGCTGCTGTCCATCTTATGAGATTTAGGTCCGTAGTCTCCACTGCCACTTACACCTGCACCTCTTTCTTTTTACTGTCAGACCCCCTTGGGCTTGTTGCTTTCAACTGCCTCAGAAAACTTCACCTGCTTCTCATGCCTATTGGGGCACAAAGACTCTCTCTCTAAGGCTGCCCTTGGGCCCATCTACCTAGACACCCCAGGCAGCCCTTCTTATGCCATTCCCTAGGCATTGAGAATGTGCTCTGGGACTTGTGCCCATTCCTGGGGCAATGAGGTCAAAAGTGAAGTGCCTACCTCTCTACTATTGGATCCCCAAATGCAAAAGGGACTCTTCCACCCTCCACCCCCACTCCCAACTGACAATACCTGGGGATTCTGCCCAGGTAATAGGGATGAACTCAAGTCAAGCCTTCATGTTCTCTCTGTTACTTTTCCCCTCACCTCACATCTAGTCCTGGGGGTGAGGGAACTGGTTCTGTGTCATTATACATGCGGGTTTAAGTTTTCAAACTCAAAAGCCAAGGATTTTGATGTCTTTAATCTCTGGTTTCTCTGCAACTAGCCTGCATTCCCACCTTTGTTTTGGGACAGTGCTGGTCAGGAGTCCCTAAGCCAATGTGAATGAGGAGAGGGGTAGGCAGTTAGACAGAACACACAAGTAAATACTTCACAGAACTCTTACCTGGCCTAAGAGAATTCATTAGGTTAAATGAAGTACTGCTCTTAATCTCTATTAAAATATAAATATTGCTTCGTATTGGATAAAAGCAGAAACACTTTAGTGTGCATTTATTGAATCTGACACTTTCCTCTCAACTGAGAGAGATGGCTGCCTAGGATTGGGTGAGGTGGGCAGATGCCAAAGTGAAGGAAGGAAGCAGACTCAGGAGGAGGAGGTATAGTTGCCTTTGCCCACTTCTCATTTTCCCCCAGGGCACAGGGCCCTGGGCACAGCTCTCACTTTGATCTTAAGGGCTAAGTGGGGAGCTTAGATGAAAGAGGTGGGAATTGAAAATCAATGAAAGAGTGGACATTTGTGCAAAGAGCTGGGCTTTGTATGTGAGCAGCTTTGCCCAGGCCACCCTTGAGCCTTCATGTAGACCTGCTCCATTACCCACCACAGCCAGCCTCTTGTGTTCTGGGCACTTGCTGGCTCCTAATTAGGGCAAGAAGATGCCTAGGGCCTCTTGACCTGGCTCCATCCATTGGTGTGTGTTTGGGACTGGTGGGGTAGTGTATCCTTCCTCTTGGGCCCGTGGCTCTCAGATTCAGTTCTTCCACTGCCCCTTCAGGCTCACTGGACGATGCCGGAGAATGTGTTGATGGGCATTAGAAGGGGTTTGGGCATGGCTTTGGTCCTTTCCATTTCCTTCTTCTGGTGTGAACTGAGCCAAAGTGCCTTAGACTTCTGGATCCCAGAGCATGGCTCTGGGCAGCGAACAACCTCAAACCTGTGGGTGGAGAAAGGCCAGCTCAGAGATGGATCTCAGGGGTCAAATCTGCCTGGAGATTCTAAAGGTAGTCCTTTTATTGTAGGGTCTAGAACAGAGAGCCTAATAGAGGGAAGAGAAAATGTCAGGACAAGAAAGAGCATCTTAGGCGTAGGGCAAACACTGGGAGAGATTGACATGCCTGGATGGGTCGCTGTGTATGCCTTCCTTACCCAAATACACCTTCCCAGGGGAGACCAGTAAGGGTCACTTTAACTGGGGTACAGCTGCCACAGTAGGATAGCCAGTGGTGGAGGGCTACAGGCTGAGTGTTCATGCAGGAATCTTGGGAAATTTTAATATCAGCTGCTGCCTAGGGTTAGCTGTTCATTTGCCCTCCTTCCTGGATTCAAGTCATAGGGCAGTGGCCTAAGTCCATGCCCACTAGGGACACTTGCCTGGCCACAGGATCTACCTCTGGCCAGGCATCCTGGGCTAGAGGCAGGAGATGGTAGAGGCTGGCTGCTGCTTGGGTTTGCCCCATGAGGCATGGAACCCTAGGGATGGCAGGCCCAGCTTCACCTGATCACATCCCTGAAAGTACGCCGATTGTCTTTGTCCAGCAGCAGTGTCAGCAGCCTCTGGTCCTGGCTCTGGATCTGGATGTTGGCTGTCCGGAAGGTGTTTGTCACCGTCTGCAACAAAGAGACAGCTCATGTGTCACCTTTGTGACAGATGGCCCTGCCAATTTCTCCCACCCTGGACTCTGGTGTGTTTCTTCAGTCAAGCACATGGGGTCCATGGCTCTCTTCCTGCAAGTGATTCAGAGCAGTGACAATCCTGCAGAAACTGCTACTAGGCTGCTCTTGCCCCTGGGTCTTTCATTGTTTCTGTGGTTCTTTACTCGATCTGTTGTCCTTAATTTTGAACACAACCTGGAATGATGTGGCTAGAGCTTGCCAGGTTATCAAGTTACCTGAGCAGCTCCTGTATGCTAGTCATGTCATGGGTGGAATTTTATAAGTCTTGACCTCAGTTCTATGTTGAATTACATACAAAATTATTTACCTGGGGCAGAAACAGAGGGTTCAGAAAGTGGCCACCTACCCCCATGACTCAGATCAGGCCTTATCAATTTGTACCATGGAATTGTCTGGGGGCAAGATACTGGTGGAAGGGGTTCATCCTCTGCATAGGGAACCTGGGGCAAGGTGTTTCACCTTCCATATCCCATGGTTTCTCTAGAAAGTCCCCAGAGCCAAAGGCAGCCCCCTGACCCCTGACCTGTGGCAGCTGCTGCTGAGGGGCTCTGTCCCACTGGGCAGAAAATTGGAGCAGCCTGGATTCCAGGTGGGGCTTTCAGAGGGCCTTTCTGGGTTGCTGGCTCAATCCACACATGGACAGTAGCTTTGGGTGATTCACTACCACAGAACAGCCGAGGTGCTAGAGCCTTAGTCTATCTCATCTAAATGTTCTCAACCCTCTCTGCTCATAAGAACCATCTTTCAAAACATAAAAGTAAAGATTCTGATTTAAGTGGTCTGGAATCCAGCTATATGTGAGCATTTTAAAATAAGCTCCCTATTGTAGGCAGGGCTGAGAACCACTGAACTAATCTACCTTTTCATTGTCATAGAGCAGAGGCTTTAGCAGCAGCCTAAATTGGGGCATCAAGCATGTCCTGGAATTTCTGCTGCACTTTTGTTGGGTTGGGATAGGCCAGCCAGAAATCTATCAGCAGAGTATGCAAGACTCTCCCAGGAGGAGGGTCAAAGCACAGACTTTACAGCCAGACTGCTCAGGTTCCAATCTTGGCTCTACTATTACTCACAACAGGTGGATTGCGAGCAAAGACAGAAAGATTTACCAAAATCTTTCTAAGACAGAGGGTAACACAAAAAGAGAGGGGACTTCTCCCCTGCTGTGCAACAGACCCTGTAGCAGCTTTGGTACCCTGGAGCTCTCAGTCACAGTGGGCAGGTATGGCAAGGGACGGGGTAGAGGGCAGGGGGCAGGCAGTGGAACCTTGTGGGAATGGACCAGACAGCTAGCTGGGTGATTGTGAGCACTCAGGTTTCATCCGTGACCTTCCAGAAATACGTGGGGAGACAACAGGGAGGCTGAAGTCCTGGTGAGCTGGGGCCTGGGGGGAAGCCAGAGACATTCGGTTTATGATATGGTTGGTATCCTAAATGAAATGACCCTACTGGTGAGGGAAACTCAAGGTTCTCACAGAGGAGAAGACAGAACTCTGGAAGGACTGACTGTGACCCACTGAAAGTCTCACAGTGGTAGGTATCGGACCCAGCTCTCTGACTCGAGTGTTTCTGCTACTGCATCAAGCTGTTCTAAGTGTCTCCTGGCAGGATCTGGGCCTCCATGGCCCTGCCCTTTAGATAACCAGAGGTAGTCTTGGGGCCTCCTCCCACCTACCTGCAGTGCAGGCAGATGCCTTTATTTCCCCTTTGTGGGCTGTACCCCTAGACACACCTGACATGCCTGGCTTTGGCCTCTGAGGACCGCAGGGGTCTTGGATTTCAGTGTATAAATGTGACCATGAAGGTCAGTTGAAAGGACCAGATGCAGAATATGCAAAGGGTCCCAGTCTTAGGTCTTGAGGGGATAAGCAAAATGCCGCTAGTTGTTCTCTGTTGGTGGCTTCCTGCTTTCCATACCCCGAAGCTCTAATTCTACTACCCTTCATTACTTTTCTATATCTAAATTTAAATCCAGCCTAAATAATATCTTTGCTGCCCCTTAAACTCACCAAGCCACAATGCCCAAGCCTTGCTGTTCTCAAAGCCCAGAATACCTTCACTCTAGCTCACCGTGAACTTCCTCTATCTCTCAGTGTTTATCGTTTGACTCACTGGGACAGAACATGCACATGCACCTATTCGAGTTCAAAGAGGAATTTCCCCCCGCAGATTAGTGCAGGAGTAAAAAGGAACTCACTGGGGCGATAAGTTTAGATTTTTTCAAAAAGCTCACAATCAGGTTGTTTAAAGAGGTCATTAAAAACAGAAACCATTGTAAGGAACTCACTTCAAAAGAGAATACATCAGGGTAAATAGGTCCACTTTGGAGTTTAAAGGTTAAACAGAGCTGTCCTATAGGAAGGAAGATTTTAGCTCAGTACAATAGGTCTCTCAGACAATCAGAGCTCTCCTACCATGGATAGGCAGCCTCAGAAAAAGTGAGCTTCTGTTTGGGATGAGATCCTATAGGGGTAGAGGATGGACTAGCTGACCCAGAAAACATCTGATGTGGACCAGACACCATGCTAAGTGCTGGAGAGAACAGCGAGGACTCAGACAAGGGTCTGAGTAAAGGGAGATCACAGTCCATTGACACACAAAGATCATGTCATTTATGGTGTTGCAGTGCTTCCATGGCTGTGTCACCAGGGCTCTACAGGAGCACGAAGTGGGGCACGTAGCTCACAGGGAAGTGGAGAGTAGGGTGGGGTGGAGGATGTGGAGGGAAGGGGGAAAAGCATCAGGATGGGGGAGTTGACACCTGAGTTTCATCTTGAAGGAGAAATAGGAGTTCTAAAAGGAAGGTGGGGAAGAAGAAGGGAAGAATGCAGTTTCAGGCCAAGCAAAGCACATGAGCAAAGGTACAGGGGTGTGACTGCCAGAACACTTCCAAATACCACGGTGTGAAGGGCCTGCAGGGGGTGGCTAGAGTTGTGGATGGAGAGGAAGAGGAGCCAAGCTTTGAAACACTGAAGAGTTTTTCTGCCCTTCTGTCATAGAGAATGGGAAATGGTGGAGGGGGTTTAAGCATGTTCGAGATCTATTTTAGAAAGATCACTGGGGTAGAGATGTGGAAAGTAGACCTAAGGAGTAACATCGGGGAGACCAGCTGGAAGGCTATCACGTTTGTCCAGGAAAAGGGGATGGATGAAGGTCTGGACCAAAGGTGAACAACTTGTCCTGGCTTGCCTGGGACTGTCCTCCTGGTTTTTAGCACTGAAAAGTCCCACGTCCCCAGAAACCTCTCAATTCCAGGCAAATTGGGATGGTTGGTCAACCTAGCTGGATCTGAAGAAGGAGGATGGAGAGGAAAGAGAGAGATTTGAGAAGTGTTTGAGAGAGAAAAGCAGCAGGACTTGGGGACGTGAAGAGGAGGAGGTATCTGAGATGACTCCTAGGTTTCTGGCAGAGGCAACTGGTTAACGATGGTACCATTAAGTGAGAGACAGGACGTAGGGGGGGAGGGGAGGAAATAAAAACAACCACTAACACACATATTGCCCTGACTCGGCTAAGCACTCTTCCAACGAGCTTTACATATTGCAATTATTTAATCCCTACAACTAGATAAGTTAGGTACTATTATTATCCCCATTTTACAGATAATGAGACCGAGGCACAGAGAGCTTGATAACTGCCTAAAGTCTCACAGTTGGGAAATAGCACAGCCAAGGTCTGAATATAGGCAGTCTGGCTCTAGAGGGCTCTTAACTATTAGAAAGCACTGAGTTTACTTTTGAATATTTTGAGTTTGGGGTGTTGTGGGACATCCAGTTCATGCTAACTTAGTTGAATGCAGGAGTCAGAAACTCAGGAGTGAATGTCAGATCAGGAGATACAGATTCTGGCGTCCTTAATAAATTGTATTAAAACTGTGTAAAGGGTTTGACAGAAGTTTGACAGAAGTGAGCCATAGGTAGAAGTAGAGAACAGTAATAATTTAAGGCACTGGTTTAGAGT